CGGAACCCACTCCTATTTATAAATTTATTATTTATTATCAAACAATACCACCGTGCATAAACACGATCAGTCAAGTCTGGATAAATAAGTTGTATTGTTTGAATTCACCGATGCATGTCGGGTGGTATCCTTTGGCATATTTTTCCATTTATACGCATGCTTTTATTATCCTGCGTTGTTTTACAGGCTTAGCATATTTTTATTTGCGACACGAAATTGTTCTAGCGTGTCCTCTCAATACTCAACCCTCCAATCAGTACATAAGTTTGAAACAAGATGCAACACTGCCTCTGTGCTTAGGATGAAGAATAGCTAACTCTGCATTCACCTCAACTTTCACAGTGGCAGTTTGTCTTCTAGGAGCAAAGAAACCAGGCAATAGTTGTCGGAGATGCTCGATTATTTCCATGGAAACATGGAAATGCCGTGCAGCGTTAACCTGGACACTGTCATCATACAGAGAAAATCCATCTCTCGATTCTATCATCTTCAAGATAGAAATTATGTCGCCTTTCGTGAAGGCCATTCCAAGCAGCCACGTTTTCATTTGTTTCCCCTTTCTGCAGGCTACAGTCAAAGCCATACGTAGTAAAAAATATTCTTTCTCACCGTAATTAATGTCGCATGCAATGCCCATTACACTCTCCCTCTGCTGCCGTAATCTTTTGGCAATTTCTCTGGATCGGCAGTCACAGTTTCGGGGATCTGGGTTGTTACATCTTTTTTTCAATACCGGTAACTGTCTTATGCAATGACTTGTTGCTTTTCCTCTCTGCGCCTCGCTTTCTGATGTGATGTGGAAGTGCACCATTTCCAACTTGGAACTCTGTAGCTGTCAAGAATGGCTGGATTATGTTCTATTTCTGCAAGCAGGGGATTGTTGTCGGGGAATTCTCTTGCGGGCTGCTTAACATCACGTGCTTCTCCTGTCCGGAGGAGACCAGCTGATCAGTCTCATTTCTACCTTGTTGTTCTTGCTCGTTTTGTATGTTAGGCGTAGTGTAATTTTCGGCTGGTTTATCATTTATAGGCTTGTCTCGTGTTCGCTATTAAAGTCTCTACCTGCTGGCCCATTTGAAAATGAAAGAAGACGTATACATCTTTATTTTACAGCATTTCTTCGTTGTTTAACGTCTTCTGACCCTGCAACGCTGCTATTGTTCCGGTGGGAATTACCTCCAAACAATAAACTTTGAAAGGCTGTCAGCGATATTGCTCGTCTTTGGCGTTTTCCTTGCCTAAATAAAAAATTTTCCCTTGCAACAAGTCCTTGATTCTCAAAGTGTCAAATGGTTCCAACCTTTTTTTTTTGCGTTGTCTTCGATCTTGATCAAGGAATGTGAGTGTTGATCCTATGGGCTCCGCATCGAAATTATTACACCAGTAATTCTAGTCGTCCATGGAAAAGTAATGACGTTTTCAAACAATTATTATGCCCATTGATCCGCTATAGGCTTTCCCAGCTGAACTCAATAACACGAAAGACAGTCATGAAGCTTAGATCATTCTCGCAAACTGTAACCCTTTCC